TGGATGAGCAACAACATACACGGCGGACTTGCGGAAGGAACAATGCGCGAGGAGGTGCAACAATATCATAATAAGTGGGAAAGTCATCAGGACATTGATATGTCGAACGACTCGACGGTGTGGTGTAGTATGAAGAAACACGTCTTTATCTATACCGACGCGGGGAAACCGGTGTTTTCACGGTACGGCGATGAAATCAAATTGGCGCCATTTATGGGGACCCTCACTGCACTGTCTTCTGTTGTTGCGGATGTGCAAGATGTGACGGATGAAGTGTGTTGCGATGATGGACTTGTTATAGTATTTCATTCTGTTGGACCGATTGAAATAGTCTTTGTGGGGAGGACGGGGGAGACTTCATCGAACTTAAAATACCAGGCCGAAATGGTAGGAAGGAAGATCTGTTCGATTGTCCCATACACAACAATACTCTCCCTCTTTCAAAAGAAGACTAGCTATGACTTTAGAAGACTTTTATTGAGCGAATATGACCAATTGAAGTTCTTCATTCACTCGTTGAATGAGTCTTCTGCGGTTCTGTATGACTCGGTGAGGATCATGCCATGTGCGAATCGAGAAGAAATTGCGACTAAAATCCAAGGACATGTTATGCAGTACAACGAGAAGCTGAAGAAAATCTCCGACTCAATTGTCTTTGTCGCATTGTTTCACAAATTTGAGATACTCACAGTGTTCCATAGAGTCGGGTGTGTACTCTCACCAAAGGATATGCACGTGTTAATGTCATTTGTACTGGGATTGCCATCGACAACAGATAAATGGGTGCCTATTGGCTTATTTGACTTCAATAAATCGGGCCAACTGTTTGCGTTTTGCCACTTTCTAAACGTCGACTTGGCACTCGTCATCTTAACGACGAAAAATGAAGCGATAGAAATTGTCAGGGAGACGTCGAATGAGATATCAGAGAGTTTGAAAAGTACGCCATTCATCAAACAACTTATTTTCAACGACTCGATTGATTTGCAGTTTGAGGTGGACACGATGAGTTACTTGCACTTTCTATACATCCAATTTGAACGACCATATTCACAACTTTTTGAGCCGGAGTTCCAAGACGTCTACAAGAGTGATCGGAAACAGATCAAACGGATTCACAAGATCTTTTTATTGATTTTTGAACAAATGAATAATCAAGACTTGAAAGAGTATTTCAGTAAAGGAGGAGTCGACTGCATCTATGCGGTGAGGAAACGAAGTTATTTCTTTGTCGGGACGTTCAATTTAATGCTCCAACGCGACGACGTTATGGAGCATGCTATGGGGATCATCAAGCAGATCAAAGAAAAGAATGATGTGTTGTTCCATAAGTCTCTGTTTTAATTTCTAGTTTGAGGAATAGAACTGAAAAAAAGGAAACCCTAAAACACAGAAGTTCAACATTACAACAACTCTAAGGCTTCATCACCGGATGAACACGAAGAGGTCTCAGTCAAGTCTAAGTTCAACTCGTGGACCATTGTACTGAAATTAGTCTTAGAAGAAAGATCGCCAAAGCCATAGGCTTCTTTAGTCTTTGTTTCGACTTTCTTGGGCTCATCTTCGACGTTTTCCTTCTTCTCGATCTTCTCTTCGTCGGAAGTGTCATCTTCATCGTCGTCTTCTTTCTCTTCATCTTCGTCCTCTTTCTCAACATCAGAAACTTCACAATCAAATGTTAACTCGTCGTCATCAATCATCTCAGTACGAGTCGTTCGAACAGAACGCTTATCATCAGGCTTCCCTTCACTGTTCTCCGTCTTCTCTTCTAAAACTACTTTCTCGATTTTTGGGGAACCGGACTCGTTTTTGATGTCGTCTTTGTCTTTACCATCTAACTTGTCTTTAATTAACATGTCCTCGTCTTTTAAAAGGATTTCGTCATCTTCATCTTTGGTTAAGATAATCTTCTTGGCACTCTCATTCTCGTCTTTCTTCCTCACCACCGCATCACTCTTGTCACGAAGACTCTCCTTCTGTGCACGACTAATCACTTTGACGTCTTTCATTATGAAGAAATTAATCCACAGGGAAACAGTTGGTTTGATTTCGTCTTGTAACATGTGGTGAAAGGCGTTGAGCACGACCAACTCGAATGGCATGATCTTAATGTATTGCTCGGAAATTTCGATGTGTGTCTGTCGTGCTTGGCATTGATCCATTATATCTTCTCTCACACTCTTTGCAAAGAGGGATGATAAACAGTCTGCCATTGTCATCATGATGCGCTTCTTCCAATGCTTTGTCATGGCTACAAGACCATATTGGAACGCTTCCTTCATCACTTCCGAGATGTTAAACTCCTTCTTTCGCTTATTCATCGTCTTTGCGGATAAATAGTCCATTGCTTTCCACCATAACTTTCTTAGTCCTTCCAATAGGATTTTGTTGATGGTCAAACAATGATCGGACACTGTAACTATCATATCAGTTAGAGTCTGGAAATACTCTTTCATTTGAATCTTCTCGTCCGGAGACATCGCCTGGTACTCCTGTGACACCTTCTTGTTGATTTCGTAGAAACAGCGCCACACGTCGAACTCCCCATCCCGCTCAAAGCGCCATAAATACACCGAAAGTTGATCTTCTAACATATCCATCTTCTTCTTGCTGACATCTTCATCCTTCACCATCCCAACTTTCCGCGCTAACATCTCGTTCATCACAGTGATGATGTTACGAACTTGGAAAAAGCCAACAAGACCCTCTGCAATATGATCGAAGCACGTGAAGAAGAGTCTTAACTTTGTGAATGGCGGTGAGATATGTCCCGCGATTTCTCCCATTTTGTCGTAGAGTTCTGGAGGGAAATCTCTGATGATTCTTTTCATGTCGTAAAGCTTTGTTTCGACCTCATCTGAAATTTGTGGGACTTCAGGGTTAGTGATTTCCTCTGCAAGTTGTCCACACGTCGAGACTAAGTCGATTAAATGGGAAAACAAATATTTGAAACTGGGCATCATCTCTCTCATGACGACGTTAACGGTCGTGTGAAACTCTTTCAAGTACGGCGCTATTTTGTCGCGAGTAGACGCTTGCACCATCCCGACATACCCCCAATACTCGTCCAATAACATCTTCATGTCGCTGAATGAGTTCAATGATAACTCGACAGTCTCAAAGTTCTTTTTCGTCTCAAACCAAAACTCGCCGACGTTCTCAGCAGTCGATTTCATCACAATCCGGAGAAACTCTAAGAACTCTTGTTTGTCTTTAGCATCGGGGCGCTTCACGGTGTCATCCTCATAACACACTTGTGTGACTATAAACTTCGTTAAACCCTCGACAGGGTCGTGGTAGATGATATTATGAGTAAACGAAGTGATTCTTTTCATGGCCCAATCGAAGATCTCGGAGTACTCATCGCCATCGACAGAGTGTCCCAAAAAGCTTCTTAAAGTCTTTGACCTTGCTATTCTTTTCTCTTTCAAGATGACCAACATGTACTTTGTGAGTTGTGTTAAGAGGTCAGAAGTGTCTTCCTTGAAAGCTTCTTCTTTGGTCGGTAACTGCGCTGCTAAGTTCTTTGGACTCAGCTCGGAGTGAAGTTCTTCAAATTGATCGTAACGTTTATAAACCATAGCAGAATGAGACCCATAAGTACTTCGGACTAAAAAGACGGGTAAAGGATCATAGTCTTGATCCAATATACATAAGTCGTGGACTCGAATTGCTATTTCAGAGTTCTCTGGAGAGTCCTCTGTTAATATTCTATTTGGTCTCTTCCTCGGTTTGACTTTGTTCTTCGACTTTGGTTTTGTTTTTTTTCGCTCTTCTTCTAATTCCGTGTTCTGAAGGTCGTATAGCTTTTGAATGAATTTTTGAGCATGAAGAAGTTCTAACTCCGTCTCAAAGCGAATCTTAATCTTTTGTCGCAAATTTTGAATACTCTCCCGCTGTTCACGGGGAAGCATCTTCTCGTCCTTCACCATCAAATTAGTTTTCAGTTGATTGAAACAAAATTTATTCAAAATTCTACAGTTTTAAATAGAGAAAAATGAAAATTTCTTGAGTGCTTTGAATTGATTTTATCTTAGGCATTCAAAGTCTCATTGTGATCATTGGCTTGATGTATTTTATTTCAAGTTGTGTTTTGTCATTTACTAACTGACGTGTTTTGATGTTCTATAAATAAGTTAGTTCTCAATTTTTATAAGACTCTTGAGGGGAATCTTCCCGCTTTTTTTACGATATAATCGACTATTAGTGTTAATTATGAGAGTATGAATTAAGAATTATTTTTAATAATAGTTGTTACTATTTCAATTAATTCTGTTAAAAAAATTAATAATTTATTTTGGGTGGTCTATTTCTATTTTATTTTTGACCGCAAAACAAGTCCCGTTTTTTTACAATAAATCCATTGATTTTTAATTGTGTTTCATTTATATTTATCGTTTTATTAATTATTGTTTTTTATTATTTATAAAAAATAAAAATAAAATGCTTTTTAAAAATATAGTATATAAAAAGTAAAAGTGTTAGTTTTTATTTTTATATATTGATATTGATTGTTATTTAATTAAGTATTAATTTATTTATAATAATAAAAATGTGATTTATTTTTAATAAATATTTTTAATATAATATAATAAACTATATCCAAACAATTATTTTATTAAAAAATAATAGTATTCAAACAATAATAAAAATAGTTTAGAACAAGTAAAAAATAAAAATTAAAAAACTCAATTAATAATAACATTTTATAAAATGTTATTCGAAACTAATGATATACTAAAAAAATACCTATATTAATTTATTATTAAAATAAACTTTTAGATTATAATAAATTCTTAGACTTGAAAACCATTTTATGGCGACCCGAATTGGTTTGTTCAAAATTCTTATTTGCACGGACACTCATTTAGGTGCACTTGAGAAATCTGAAAGTCGTCGAGATGACTGTTACAAAGCTTTTGAGGAGATTCTCTCCACTGCACGTGACCAAGATGTAGATTTTATAATCCATTCTGGAGACTTATTTGACACGAAGAACCCAACTAAAGTATGTCTAACAAGGACCATGGCATTACTAAGGAAGTATTTAACAGGGATTCCGAAAAACACATATCAAGTTGGAAGTCTCAGCGATATGGAATACAAAGACATCTCGTTTGATGACTCTCGTGGTATTAAATATCCTATGTATATCATTCATGGCAACCACGACGAGCCGAGTGGGACCGAATTAATTGCTGGTCTTGACATATTACAAACTGCGGGGTTAGTCAATTTTATAGGAAGAGATGATAAACACACAATCACCGAGTTAAATGAAAAATTTTTGAGACTCGAGCCAATCATTTTTGTAAAAGGTGACACAAAGATTGCACTTTATGGAATGAGTTATAAGAAGGGGGAAGAAATGAATAAGATATGGTCATCACAAAGAGTCCACATCGAACAGCTCGATGAATCAGAGAACGTCTTCAAAGTGCTGTTAGTCCATCAAGATAGAGTCTTACACGACTCACTCAAGATAGTACCGGAGGAACTTTTCAAAGGATATTTCGACTTTGTCGTATTTGGCCATGAACATATGTGTCAGGTCGCTACAGGCAAACCATGGTCCATTCAACCCGGATCGAGCTTTCCTCTTTCGATCTGTGAGTTTGAGTCTTATGAAAAATTCATAGCGGTGTTACAAGTTGAAGGGAGCGATTACAATGTTGAAAGAATCGCACTGAGAAATGTCAGACAAGTGTTTTATAAAGTCGAACAAATACCAACTGAACTCGAAGGGTCGAACAACCTGAGCGCAGTGACACAATACATCAAAGACACAACACAAGAGTTCTTCGACTTTATTGAAGCAAATAATACACACCCAGAAATGGCGCCAATGGCGAGAATAGTGTTTGAATACACATGTCTTGAATGTACAGTGAATGCAAGAGAAATAGCAGTTCTCTTTGATAAACCGTTGTTGAACAAAGGAGACTGCGTCAAGATGAAGAAGAAAGCAATCAAAAGAGAGAAAAAGAGGAAAACTGCAGTGAGCGATGACTCACAAATGTCGGAAGACAGTGACTATGAAGAAGAGGAAAACAGCGAAATAGCAGCGCGGAGGAAGGCGATTGAAATAGAGACGTACATGCATAAGGAGTTCGAGAAGAATAAAATTCAGTCGATGCCCATCATCGAGATCGAAAAAATCATCGAGAGCATCGGGAATGGGGAATATGAAGAAAAGACCAAAGCGAGGCCACTTGAAGTGCTTGTCAATTATTGTCTAGAAAAAGCAGTAGAGGAATCTTTGACAGATGTTGCAGTGAACGGAAGGGACAAGAAAATGGTCGATGTGATGTCAGAAGGGATGCGGAAGGTCCGTGAGAGAGCCATAAATGAAGACGATCTCAATGACAAGCGTGACGAGATACTTAAGAGGAAAGAGGAGAACCCTAAAAAGAGGAAGAAGACTGCAAAGAAGACAAAGAAAACTAAAAAAGCGGTGATGGGTGGTGATGTTGAAAGTGAAGAAGAAGTTGATGACAATGACGAGGAAGAAGAAGTGAAAACAGTGAAAAAGAAAAAAACTAAGAAAAAAGTGAATAAGAAAAAGTTACTGAGTTTATTGAAGGCGGATGACGAATTTTAAAGAGGAGGAAAGAGATAACAAAATCTGAATAAGACTTAAGTAATGTTTTCTTGTATGGGTTATAGTTTGGACTCTCTTTGAATTATACTATCAAGTATAGAACTGAATAATACAGTTTTATGTTCGCTCAACGAGTGGACACGTTTAGGCAGACGTACAGAGCATACTCTTTTGAAAAGAGTGGATGTGGCAAAACCAATTTGAATGACTCTGGAAAGGTGCTATTACCACCGTCGACTTTACAAGTGATGGGTTTGTTTCTTTTATTAAATAATAATAGTAGTACTATTAATAACTTGTTATTACTTCGTTTCTATCTGTTGAATTACTTTGAATATGATGGGAGACTCATATATAGCTGGAATGAGTCTTGTGTATCCCCTCCTCTTTTGGGTACAGAAATACCGAGATAATACAAATGTCACGCATTGCGGAGTCCTTGAATTTACAGCAAAGGAAGCGGAGTGTTATATGCCTCCTTGGATGATGCAAAGATTGAAAATAGGGGAGGGCGACTATGTTGAATTGAGAACAGTTGCTTTACCCAAAGCGTCATTCATTCGATTCAAACCGAAGTCGATTGAGTTTTTCAAAATACCGAACTACAAAGTAGTGTTTGTTTGTATGGAATTTGGTATGTAACACAATGACAATAAGGATGGAAAGGGAGTTACGGAATTACTCGGCGATGACAGTGGGCGATGTGATATCGATTGGATTTAATAGTAAAGAGTATGAATTGGAGGTGGCCGAGTGTAAGCCCGCAACACGAGCAGTAAGTATAGTCGAGACGGATGTTGCCGTTGATTTTGATGGGAACAGTTTACCCGAGAATCAACAAGCAAAAGCGCCTTCACTGATTGATTTGGACGATGACGAAGAAGATGACGACATTATCATGCCGCCACAAAGAGTCGAAAAACAAGAGTCATCTGATTCAGAAGAGACTTTCAAGCCATTTAGTGGTGTTGGGAGAACACTAAGAGACTCAAACGACACCGTGAGAGATAAGTGGAAAGATGAAGGTTGGGGCTAAGTGTTACATGTGAGTTTGATTTTGAGGTATTTTTAAAGTTCTTTAGCAAGCATTTTTTTCATTTATTTCTATAAGTAGAACACAAATAGAAAAAATTTGACTTGTTGCACCCGTTTCAAGGTTTTGTGAAGTAATTCTTTCAATGAAGAAAAATTGAATAAATTTTCATGGAAATGACGGGATATTTACCTAACATATTTATTTGAAAAAAGAAAAAGTTCAACGAAGCAGAATTTAAACAACAAAAAAAAACAGAAAAAGTCGGAGAAAAGAACTAGATAAATAGTTATTTTAATTATAAATGGAATTATAAATGGAATTAGAGAGAGGAAAAACAAAAACCCCGAAATAGAACACCAATAAAAAAAGAAAATAGAAATGAAACCACAAAAAACATTCAGTCGGCTCGGGATTTTTGGAGGGAAAACAGTAGAAAAAAAGTCAGAAAGATAGTCAGTGGAATTTGAAAAGCAGTGCATGTCCAAAACTCTGGAGCACCCAACGAGTGAAGGGTTGATCACAATCTCATTTTCTATTAATTACGTCACGACGTATGGAGAAGAAGTTTATGTCAGTTTGGACGACTACACTTGCAAGAAACTCACGTGGACACCAAATCACATTTGGAAGGGGGCAGTCACTTTACTTCGACCACGAACACTTCGTTGGTCATATTCTGTTGTCGAAGGAAGTTCGATCATTCGAACGGAACACTTGACAACTCCAAGATCGTACTCATTAGATACAAGTCATAGATACTATCATGTCTTCGACAAGTGGGACGTGTCTAACACTAACGTGTCCCCACTCACATTCTCTTCTATAACATCTCCTTTCTTGCTCTCACTTAACCTCAACTCATCCATTGACAACAACAGATCACCAATCCAGTTCATGCCTGTATTCATACCAAAGAAGGTAGTCAAAGACATAGGAATGGATGATACAAACACTTTGTGACACAACAACTATTTACCATATTTTCATAGTAATTGTATTATTCACTACTTGTTTGATGAGATAGTTTGGTTGTTAATTCACTTAACCAATTGAGAATTGAGTTCAATTATAATATTTTACTACTATATTTTTAATATATCATTTATACTATAATTATAGTATAATATACTTACTCAAACCAAAAGAAGAGAAATTTCAAACTGAATTACGACTTTAATTCTCCTTGACTTCTTTTACTTCCTCGACTGGGTAAGTCTTGAGTAAGTCTTCGAATTTGAGAATGGAGTGGAATTGCGACAACGCAGTGACCAACTCGACAATTTTATCCTCTGGGACTCTGACTTGTTTCATAGTGTCTCTGTCACGTAAGGTGACTGTATTTTCGGAAAGAGTCTTGTGATCGACAGTGATAGCAAATGGAATACCAGCCTCATCCGCTTGTGAGTATTTCTTTCCAATAGCAACTGCTGTAGTGTTCGATTTGAAAGAAACAAAGCCTCTCTGGCAAACGCCTTCTATTTCACTGACTTTAGAAGTGAATTCTGGCTTAGTGAGCAATGGGAAAATGCCAAGTTTGACTGGAGCGATAGCAGCTGGGACGGACAAGACACTTCTGTTCTCGTCGCCTTCTCTTAACCAGAAACAGTGCTCCAAAACACCCGTCAAAACTCTTCCAATACCAAATGAAGGTTCGATGACGTGTGGGATGATAGATTCGCCATGGACCTTCTTCATCCCTGATGTGATTTTCATGTCTTCCTTCTTCAACTCGAAATTGATGTTTTCGACAGTAATCTTCCACACTCCATTTGCTTCAAACTCCTTCATAATAGCCTCTTTCTCGGTTTCATTCAACTTCTCGACATACGCAAACAATTTCTGAGAATCTTTTCTGTACTTCTTTCCAAGAGCACCTTTGTTGAATGTGATGGTGACTTCGCAGACTTCTTTTGGCTCATCGAAGGTGATGTAAACGCTCTGATCGACTTTGGAACATCTCGCGTGGTTGGAAAGATCGTAGTCCCCTCTATCAGCATGCCCAACACACTCAACCCATCCATATGACATTCGAATCTCAGCATCCCAACAATCTTTGGCATAGTGCGCCATTTCTGTCTTCAAGTGTTGTCTGAATCGAATGTGCTCGCCCGGAATCCCAAGCTCAGTCAAGAATTTGTAAGTCCTTCCCATGAAATAAGCCAACAATTGCGAGTTGATAACGTTATCAGCAACGGCTTGTTTCAATGTCATCAGTTCAGCCTCTTTATCAGCAAGTTGTAACTCTCTTGGGTATAATTGGACATTCAAGTTCTCGACATCGGCAAAGTTCTTGTGCGTCTTCTTGTCGGGCAAGACGAAGTATTCGATTTCAGCCAAAGTGAATTCTCTGACTCTCAAAAGGCCGTTTCTTGGCGCAATTTCGTTTCTGAAGACATTTCCTATTTGTGTGACACCAAATGGGACTTTCCCGCCATTATACTCCAAATTTCTCTTGAACATCGTGAAGATCCCTTGTGCAGTCTCTGGTCTCAAAAACGCCTTTAAATCACCGACGGGTCCAATGTCAGTTGCAAACATCAAGTTGAATGGGACGGGGTCAGACAAGTCATTTCCACTGTCTGGCGCTTTGATGCCGTTGTTCTTAATTGCCGCTCCTAACTCTTCCTTTGACAAATTGTCAATCACTTTCATTTGAGCTTCAAGATGTTCTTTTTCTTGCTCACTGGTCTTTGGGTCTTCCATTTGCTTTTCGTAGAAAGTCTTCAAAATGTGGTCGGCTCTGTAGCAACACCCATTCTTCATATCTTTCACCATGTAATCTGAAAATTTGGCAGTGTGGCCAGAAGCTTCCAAAACACATTTCGGAGTTAAAATTGGTCCCTCAACTTCAAAGAGGTTCTCATACGTCGTGAAGTGTTTTCTCCAGAACTGGAGGATGTTCTGCTTCAAAGCACATCCCAATGGTCCCATGTCGTACAACCCAGCAATACCACCGTATATCTCGTAGGCCTGGACAACAATGTTTCTCTGTTTAAGAACATCGTCAAGTTTCTTCTTCTTGATCAAAAGCTTTTCTTTGGTATATTGCTCTGCTGGACGTTGCATTCTAAAATGGAGATGTGAGGGTTCTTCTTATATCTTTAATACTACTCTCATATACAAAATGAATCGTGTTTTTTAATGATTATTTCGAGTGTTTTTTTCTTGTTATTTCAGGACTTTTGGGTCACTTTGTGGAGGTCAAACAAATTAAAAAAAAAATTAAAGTCTGTGTGTATTTTTCGATAATTCATTTTTGGTCATTTCATCTGTTTTTCAAATCTTTTTAGACTATCAATTGTCATTAGTCCCATTACTACTTTTTGAAAAAATTTGGTGTCGATTTTTAGGGTTCCACGTGGGGACAAATCGCAACATGAGTTTTTGTGCATGTGAATAACAATTTGAATGGCGATCCAAATAACATTTTATCATTTTTTATATAATCTGCAAAACAAAACTATGACAATAATTTTGGATGTTGGAGCACGCGAAATCAAGGCGGGCCTCAACACGGAGGCACTTCCCTCCCTTCGGTTTTCGTCGTACTGTATGAAGAATGAGTCGGGATATACGCACGTCAAATTTTTAAACAAAAATCAGTGTGCCTACGAGTACGAAAGTTGCCTTTCGAATCGCACCACAAACAAACCGTGTTTTGAGGCTGTTATGGACGAAGTGATGGGGTTATTTAGTTCAAAGTCATTGATATGGGTGAAATCCAATGACCACACACGTGTGATGGGGAATGAGGCGTACGAGATGTTTTACGAGAAGTATAACATACAAAATATATACTCTGCGTCTTCTCCAGTCTTGGTCGCTCTTTCGTACAACCAATTGAATGCCTTGGTCATCGAGAGTGGCTACACGTCGTCTCGGTGTTCTGTTGTGTTTTCTGGCTATGGGCTGGAACACCCAACTACCGAGACTTCTGTTGCTGGTGACTTCATTACAAAGCGAATAACAGAGCGGATTTCATCCGATTTCAGTGCTCTCGTTCCGCCTTTACAACAAAACTCATCATCGTCATTCCGTAATCTCGAGATACAACAATTTTTTGAACAACTCAAACTCGCGCCAAAGTCGTTCAATGGGTTTGATATAGATTCATATAGTAAAAATTTACTATTCCCAGCCACTGTTTGTTTTTCTCTTTTTCCTGTTTATTTTAATGATTTTCAAATTTATATTTTATGATAAAATCAAACTATTGTTTTTAATACAACAATCCATTGAATTGTCCAAATACTAAAAACTATTATTTATAATACCATAAACTATAAGTATTAATACAGTTTTAACAAAAAGCCTGAGGAGGACAATATTGGTCTTGACAATTTAACACTAAAAACGATGATGAAATGTGATTATGATGTGATCAATAAAGTTTCAGAAAAGCTTCTTTTTGCTGGTGGAACGACGCTGCTCCCAGGAGTGAGTGAAAAAATTCTTGATTCGTTCACTAAATATTTCCCAACACTCCAACCCAAAGTCATAAAAAGTGATACCATATCTTCACAAAAATACGCTGCATGGCGGGGAGGTGCCATCATCGCAAACACAGAAGCTATCGCAAAGGTCTTTGTGACAAAAAAGGATTACGAGGAGAATGGTATTGGCATCGTCGATCGTAGATGTGGCTAATTGTGTTGTGTACTATCCCTTACTATAACAAAACTATACTTAAACCATTATACACATGTTTGGATATAATAAAATGTAATAGTTTAAATATAATTATTTTTAGTATCTATAAATAACTATAAAATATAATAAATTTACTATTCAAGAGTTCTACAGATTCCCTGAAGCGTATTAAGAGACCTTATCATCTCTGTACTTAATTTGCCCAATGAGATCGCTTCAAGTGCAGATGCCAAATCTATTTCATTAAATTTATCGAAAATACCATATCTTCTCTCGGAGTAACATTCAAACTTGAGGAGGTACAAGACCATCTCTAAAACAGACTCCATCAGTCCCTGATCATCTATTTGAAGCATCCCCTTGAATGCATCAAAAATATTTTCCAGATTTAATATCGAGATGAGATTTTGAGCTTCTGACTTTTGGACAACTTCACTGATGAGGTAAGCAGGGCGAATTTGGTACTGTGGGGTTTCCTCTAAAACGGCGGTGATTGCGGCCGGAATAAATGAAACGATGACTTTTGATACAACGGGTTGTGTGGGAATTCGGATGAAATCGACGAGAAACAAAAAGAGGTTTTCTTTCTGGCGTTTTTCAATCTCGTCTGATTTGAATAGATGAGTGATTTTGTCAAGAACGCCTTTGCTCTGTATTAACATCAACAAATTGTCATCGCCTGTCATAAATGTGGAGATTGAGACAATTGCCGGAACGACACATTCATATCGGGCTGATTCTAGGAAAGAAATCAGTTCGTCCAAAAATCCGTTGGAGCAAAGAGTCCCGATGTTTTCGGGGTTTTGTGCCAAAAAGTCGACAGACCAAATGCCATCGACACAAAGCGAGACAACAATCGACCGCAACATCATTTTGATGAAGGGAAACAAAGGAGTAATGAACTCGATCTTGACGTACGGAGCGTTGTTACATAAATTGGTAACGAGAAAGCCCAATTCGTTTAATATGTCCGGGTTCGTTATATACGCTTGACTTAGGTTTAAAATAAGTGAGGAAATCTGTTGGCTCAGCAAGTTGTCGCGGATTGCCGAAGACTCGCCAGCTAAGTTTGCGAGAAGATGAATCAAGTTGCGGCGGACTGCCACACTGGGAGAAACAATTTTGCGCACTATGACTTCGACGATATTTTCTTCAATCAGTTCTTGGCCGTGTGTTGTACCACAACAAACGTAAATGCTCAACACCTCCGCAGAAAGAGAGGAAATTGTTTCGTCTGTGTTAAGGATCTGGACTACAACCATGTTTAATAATCCCGAAGGTCGAATAAGGATGGAAGACCCGTTGTTGTCCCTTTCTAGAAATGCTTTGGTGTTCATGAGAACATTAAAAAGCTTTTCGTCGTCACAACCCGACACTTTAAAGGCATGCACAAGGTCATTGAGTTCGTCTATTGGCCGACGAATGGCAGAAGAGATCTCCTCCTCAAATGTTAAAGGGTACACTTTTTGTTTTCTTGTTTCTTTGGGTGTTTCGATTATGCGGCGCTTCGACAAAAACTCCGATCTACGAGACCGTCTGAGTACATCAAGTGTCTGTAAATGGCTTCTTTTCGATGCAGTCTTACTGTCCCACCTCAATGTGCTCATTGTTTTTTTAGTTATACATTATTTATTTTGTTAAACCTCAATTATTGTCTTGAAAATGTTATTCATCATAATATCATTTCATCCTTACAGCTCCTGACATATCCCTTGATTAAGTGTAGCTTTTGGATACGATACTTCAACTAATTTATTTTGCTTGCGTTTAAGAAGTGTTTTTGTTCACTAACACACAAATTTATTTTGTCGAAGGCACAACAATCGCACACAAAAATTGATCATATGACATTAAATGAAATGGATTTGTTTTTTTTCAAAAAAAGTGATATAGTAAAGTAAAAAATCAAAGTCCAATAAGATTTTTTAATTATAGTTTATTATTAACTAAAACTATTAATTTGATTAACAAACCAATTTATTTCAACTATTTATAGTTCAATTAGAAAAAAATATAATAAAAAACAAATTTCTAAATATAATTTTTTTATTAGTTTTGAAATTATTGTTATTTTGGTAGTTGTACTGAACTAAATAATGTTAAAATAAATAATGGTTTTTAAATCTATAATTATATTATAAAAATAGACTTACAAAAATATAATTGTTGTTAAAAAAAACAATATCTTTTATTTATCATATTTTGCACTAAAAAAAGTTATTATTTAGATACAAACAGTCTTGTTTTTGTATGTATTTTTAAATAAATCAGTTTTAATTATCAATAAAAAAAATATTATTTTTGTAGTTGTTTTAGTTTAAGTTTAATATGTAATAATACAAACTCCATTAAAAGCAAACTAAAAGCCAAGTAGTTTAATGATTCTTCTTTTTTAATTGTTTTGTCTGTTTGAATTTGATCTCCCAAATTATTGAAATAAAACGAGTAAATTTAAGATTTGTTTTTTTTCGGAAATGTTTTTAAAAAAAATCAATTGTGGGTGGATTTTGTCCGTTTTTGGTAGTTGAGAATGGTGTCCTAATCTACCTTTTTTTAAGTAAATAATTATGCTTTTTTATC